ATTGATATCAGTTAGAGAACCATTGAAAACCAGGGAGTACTAGACAGCTGTTTCATCCTAGTTTGGGAGTCATCGGCAGAACGCACCCACCGAGATTCGAACTCAGAACCTCCCTGTTACAAGGCAAGCTCGTATACCATGTCCCACTGGTGATATTGGTTAGCGGTCGTGCTAAATCACGAATTGGTAGATGTTAGAATTCATGGGCCGTTGAATCGGGTCACAGTGGCTGAATGGCATAGGAGCTTGTATTTTAATCACCGAAACGTCCTGGGTTCGAACCCTGGTGGTGGGTGTGAACTGCCGATGATTCCCAAACTAAGATGAAACAGCTGTCCAGTACTTCTTGGTTTTTAATGGTTCTCTAACCGATATCAACCCGTGAAAACAAAACCAATCCTTACAAACCAACTATAGAGGATAATAATTATTAGGAAAATTTTATTTTGAATACATAGTATCCGTTGAAATTTTCGAATGGCTGTTATCTCAGCCATCTCCATATGTCTTGATCTAACACCATTTGACGGGTTTGATTGGATCTTGTATAGATCTTTGAAGAGATTTTCAAATGTAGCTGAGTGTGCTGAGTTCACCAGATGTTTTGTTACCAGACTATATAGACACCCCATTTCTCTGCTTGCTCGCTTCACACTCAGGAACGATATACATCTTGGAAAATTCAGAAGCTCAAACATTTGAAGCAGATCATCTTTATATTACTGCATATACAATTAACTTCTCTCTTTGCATCGGTGGTCGGATGGTAGAATGATTGTCAGCCATGCGGGAGGTCAGATTTCGATTCTCGATCGACAGACTTTTAAACCTCGACCAACCAGTTGTAAATCAATAAAGCAGGGACAGATGAGAATAAGTCTGGCAATATTATCCTATAAATGCAGAACTACTGCTATTGACAACTGAAAGCTAAAAACCGCGCATTACAGTCGGAACTCAGTGAGTAACACGTCGGTGGAAAGATAAAGGAGTTTCTTATGATTTATGTTTCATCCATCTGAAAATTCATCCATTCTGATTCAGTACTTAGCGACATATTTATGCCGACAGACATTGCCACAATACAAAGTGCCTAAAACTAGTAATAAGATTCTTTCCGACATATAGAATTTGGCGAAAAAGGTGCATGCATTTAGCATTACTACTAAGTCTATTAAAGTACAATCTAAGTAATCTAATCTACATAGGCGAGTTAGACTGTATTAACTTATCACACCGATTAGATCTGTCTGTATGAAAATAGATTGTGATAGTATACCTTTTTGTCCAAAGGTTATTTCGTTTCATTTAGTAAAAAAAAATTAAAAAAGAAACACAGTTTTACTGAATTACTAATAAAGATTTTACAATAACTTGGCCTTTTTATCCTCTGAGATTATTTGTGTAGCTTCAGATAACCATCGCTATCAAAATAAATATCAAGAGGTATTAACTGATTATATTACGTGGGCAGACGTTTACTTCGACTCATCGAAATAGGTAACAGGATGAAGTTGCCAGATTTCGAATTGCACTGCATACAATAACATAACAACATAAGACTATATCGTACTTTGTGATAAATTTGAGTAGTGTTGCTTACCACTCATATATAAACCAGTATCGTTTGCCATCCGGATGGATCTAAGTGACTTAAATGCCATGCGGCTTGTTTGGGACTCAGTTCACCAGCGGTGTACCACGTTTGACTCAAATCATTCGAATTCAGCCTAGCTAAGTAGGCGAACTAGTAATATTTTAAATGGATTTGCAATTTAAACAGTTAGAGGGGGAATTTCACCACATTTTTCCCTGGAAATTGAGTTGAATCAAACCTGGTTCTCCACTGATGCGCTAGGCCTCAAACGAAGGAAATGGACATCTGGTGTTCAGATCACTTCAATCGGGTTGATGTGAGTAGAGTCCAACCACTGATCTTAGTTAATCAGTAGTATGAAGTGTTACGAAATTATGCTTGATTTTTTAATTATCACAAATGGTATCCAGCAGATCAAATATTGTGATCAGAATAATTTCGGTGTTCAAAGCGAATTGTGGTAAAATCTCACCTGGGTCTGTGTGAATTGAGAATTCGATAGGTAGTGGTCGACATCTATTTCATCCCAACTTAGGATTCATCAGTTTTCAGTGGTTCTTTAACTGATAGCAATCTGTGGTCAAACTTAAAACAAATCAGATCTTTACAAGTAAGCTCCTGAAAATTGACCTGATGTTTGCTAGTGACTGGCTACAAGACGAAGTTGCCTGGAGTCCTAGTGATAAGTCGTGACCATTGGAATTTACCTAGTTAGGTAGCAAGTATATATACTCACCGATGACATTGGCTAGCAGTCGAGCTGAAAAAATCATGGACTTTGAGGCGGGTGCCCATGGCTAAATTTACTAGGTTTACTAGCCTCCCTTGTAACCGGAAAGTCCTGGATCTGAACCCCGGCGGTGAGTGAGTACTGTCAAAAACTAGGATGAAACAGCTGTCTAATAATCCATAGTTTTGTGGTGAGAGCAGGCTGCTAGCCAATTGGTAGACATCAATCGACGCTGATTGGTAGACATTAATCTAGGCTGATTCAACAACCAATCACAGCAGAGTTAAACGTGGGCAAATATGGTTCGCAGATAAATGGCTCTACTTTCCGAGAAATATCGAAAACAACCAATCAGAAGACTGTGTTTGTCTGCTTAACTTCCGAGAAACAACCAATTAGAATACTGCCTTTTTCTGCTTGCATAAGCCTTATTAATGTACATAAGATATATATAAATATGCGTTGATTTTCGTAATAAAACGATTTGCTGCCTGGCCCTTGTCTTCTGTTGTTACAGTTTAAGCTTACAGAGTTTATATCATCTTATCTTTAAACATGCGCTTTGTTTTACACAACTACATAAATTTTAATGTTTTGTCGGTTGGTGCATTGTTTGGATCTGACCATGCCATGTTTCTTTCACTTTAAACCTATCTCAACTAAAAATGGTCATGAAAGAAGGCTGTTGCTCGGCATGCGTAAGATGTAAACCGGTTAATATTCATCTTATCGACTCACTTACCTACCTTAAATGGCACTGTAGGTGGATTTTCAATAGTATTACTCACTACGCTGCTCTTCTTAGGATGGGCAAATGAACAAAGATATCTATGATTACAAAATCTATCAACTTTTTAATGCAGCAAGGTAGGACAGAGTGAATTATTTCCAGTTGTCTATTCTCCAATCTACTGAGTTCAACAGGATGTGAAGAACAACAAAAAACACTGGCACACAGTCATGTCACAGTGTGTCTTACGTTTGTCATGATTCTCTGTTGAACTAAACTATTCTATCATACTAACAAACAATTATGTAACCACCTTTTTAAATCAAGTTATTCACTTTTAGACTACTATTTTTGGCCTGCGAATCGCTCTAGCAAAATGTAAGATGATGTTATACAACTAGAATACATCGACACCTAGCTTAAAGAGAGACAGTAAAGTGATACAGTCTGTCGAACACCTCACCTACTTGGTTAGGTATATAAGCTACAATGAACTGATTGCTGACGAAATCTTAACACGATAAAAAGGAAGGTCGTATGGAATTTTCTACCTTATGCAATCGCTGTCGCAGACGTGATATCGGCTGGTTGCTATTGATCAAAGGACGTATGTACTGTGAGACAGTTCAGCCCGGTCTACTTAATAGTTTTAAGACATGACAACTAAAAGGAGAAAGAAGGCTAACTGTCAATGACCGTAGATGTTTGCATTCCACCTATCGTGTTTAGTGACATAATAGGGTTAGTTAAGCATCGAGCGTTGGGTAAGGAAAAAAAGACAATCGATGAGGCTATGAAAATACATCGATTTAGTTGGGCAGGTTGTGTTATGCATGCCTAGCGATCGCCTTTTTAGCTAACATAGGATCAGATTGGAGAGAGGTGGTGAAACCACAACATGGAGTCAGTCCATGAAATGTTCGACAGTTAGTTTGAAGGACTGCGTGGTTGTGGTCTTCGATATTCTAAGCAACAATGACTGGAAAGGACTGGTGATACATCTGAGAATCATTGTCAGTGGCGCGGATGCACTCACTCTTTCTAATCTCGCATGTCAATTAGATCCTACTGTTCTACCATAATATTACTGTTCTTTCTCCCTCGATCTTCTGATTATTGTAATCCTTTTTTCTGCTTTTGTGTACTTCCATGGGGTGTGGCAACTTGGACTGTTGTGCAGAGTTCTATGCTCAGCCATTCAGTTAGTGTATAGGCTATTTATATACTATTTAGGATTCATAACGAGACTTATGCAAAAATACTATATAAAATGATTCAACGGTTATAAACCACATGAAATATATTAAAGGATTTTATGCTCCTTGCATCATGTATCTTAGTTTTATATTGTAGTGCAGCTATCGACCTAAGGGATATAATTGTCCAGTGACATTTCTCATCCATTAGTTTCACTGAAAAGTGAACCGAATTCCAGGTTGTTATTATTATACGGCAATTAAGACATAGGTTCTGGGTTCGAGTCCAGTCCCACCAAATTCAGCCTGGGTAGTATTATCAGTCATCCCATAAAATGAGTTTAGTATATTAGCCTAGTATGTGAAAAATCGATTTAAGAATTAATTTCTCACCACCACAGTTGATGGTGACCAAAAACAAGTTCATACGCCATTGGATTTTGGAGTTTATGACCCAGCTCCCCTGGGTGCAGAACAGCAAATACACCAGTCCGGTTGTGAGTGCCACACACACGTGCAGTGCACTGGCCCTTTCAACCCGTCACCATATGAAAACAGCAGTGAACACGGTCTTACCTGGTAGAGGTGTGGGCTCTAAATACGTGGTCACATGAAAACATTTCGATAGGACAACTGAAGTCTACCCACCAACCTTGGCTATGCTGGCAGGTGGTTTATGAGGCGGGATGAGGAGAAAGAGGAAGGCAACCTGCTTTTTACGTTTCTTTCACACAAAATCAACAAAACGAATGCAACTATCAATTTGATTTTTTTTTCTAAATTATCATTGCACTGAAATTAATACACATGCCTTTTTCAAATGTTAACAATTGCAATAATAAACAATGTACACAATATAATTTATCATTATTATTAATAATGATAGTAGTAGTAGTAATAATAATAATATTCTGTTGTGCAAGCAAATCCAACACAAACAAGCACAAAAACTACACAACGAAGATAAAAACAAACAGGCCAACAATAGTAGAGAATAAAAGACTGATTAGAGAGAGAGTGTGTGTGTGTGTGTTGAACGGCGCTATTCTATTAATTTTTTCTTCTTCAATGTTTTAGATAAGATGTGTTGAAATTCTGGAATATAAGTATGTGTATCTATAAACATGATAGTGCACTTACTGACTAAGTTAGATAGATGAAGAGAGATGAGGAAACCAATGCACAGATTGCCTCGAAAAGGTCAACAACGAAAGATAATCATTGGTAAGTATAGGGCACACCTCTTTGTGTCTCTTTTTTTTAATGCATATATGATAAGACCAGAGAAAAAACAAAACAAGTGTGACAGGAAGGGAAGAGTGATGGTGGTGGGGAGGGGGTGCGTGAAAACATGTGTGTGTGTGTGTGCGTGTTCGTGTGTGTACATACTCAACAAAGATTTCATTGCTCAAATAAATAGCAATAATAATCATAATAATAGTAGTAAATATATAAAGCAAAAACAAACGAAATAATCAAGGGTATAAGTGACAATACAAGTGAATTAAATCACACTGTAGGATAAAATAATCACAGAATGATGATGAGTGAGTTAATAATTCTGATGAATACAATCAAACTTAATGAATGAGATCACAACATTTATGCAAGTAAGAGAGATATATATAACATATAGAACAGGAGAGAGCAAAAAAGAAAAAAAGGGAAATGTGTGTATGAACCAAATGATGAAATAAATCCGTTGAAGAAGATAACAATATTGTTGTGCATATATCAATTATGAAACTGATGAAATAGGACTTCGACTTGGACCCATTTGACGTAGAACACGATCAAGCCATAGAAATGGTCCACGTAAGTGTATTTCAATCCAACATGGTGTTGATGTGATATCCTGTCGATGATATTCAGCACCCCAACCTTTAACAAAACTCATACGTATAGTACACATACGTACAAGATCATAGGTGGCTTCAACACCACGTTGAATAGTATAACTAAGTATATGAGCGAATTGACGATTAGAAAATATACGTAAACAACTACCAGGAGGTATTTTAATCACAGTTGTTGGATGAAAATGATGACGTTCGTTGCATTCACGTGATTGAATAAAAATGCTACAATCTGATAAGCATTCAGCGTATACATCACCACCAAATGTAAACAAATGAACGCCTATATTAAATTAAAACAAAACACAAATGGTTTTTTTAGATTATTATTCTTGTTGATAGATACATAATTACCTAAAACTGAATTACTTCTCATTTAATGTATCAATATATTCAACGAAATAAAGGGATTGTTTAAAAGAGTAATAAATAAAACCTAAGAACCACTGTACAGTTATAATTTCAATATAATACATTACTTAATAGTAATGTGGTGAGAGCGGGCTGTTAACCAAACATTGGTGGACAGTAATTTACGTCAATGTTTATGTCCCCAATATTGGTCGTGAGAAAAATGAGAACAAAGGCTTCGCGTAGGCAGATACAGTTAACATACAGATGGTCTGACATTCAAGGAACAGACACAAAGAGATGCAAAGTTAACTTCCTGTGAGAAGCAACCAATCAGAGGACTGTGTTTGTCTGCTAACAATAATCCATAATATGTACATGAAAATATATAAACACGTGTTGATTTCCTTAACAAACGATCTGTTGCATGGCCCTTGTCATCTGTTGTTACTGTACTACTATAACGGCAGAAGACAAGGGCCAGGCAACAGATCTTTCTTAAGGAAATCAACACATATTTATATATTTTTATCTACATTATTATTAGTGTTATTGTTAGCGGAGAGGCAATTTATCTGATTGGTTGTTTTCCTGTTGAAGGTTATTCTGCAGCGCTTGTGACCGTTTCTTGGAAAGTTAAGCCGCATATCTACGAATCGTATTTGCACACGTTAAGTCTGCTGTGATTGGTTGGTGACTTCCACAAGGTTAAGCTTTGTTATTGTTTGTTTTTCTCATGACCGCGATTCGGGACGTAAACAGTGGGGTAAATTGTTGTCTAGAGTTTTGGCTTTCAGACAGCCCACACCACACTACGACCGAGAGCTGCTACCTTGAAGTGGTCGTCGGGCTTGAACACCGCAATATCTCAACATGCTATACTGGCTGAGACTTATGTCTCTTGAGGTCCTACCATGCCAGAAAGGTTGTTTGGATATCGGTTAAACAAAAAGCAGCTACCCAATCCAACATTATGATACATACAAAACCACAAAATTTCATGCCGGATCGGCCGTGGCCCGGATTAACAACGACCGCGCTTCCTGCTGCCGTGTCACAGGGCAGGAGTGATAAATATGCTACTGAGACACACAAAACAATAACGAACAAAGAAAAGCAGGCCGCGTGTGACCGGCCTCAAGCAGTTGTCCCCTGGGCTCTGCGGTCACGCAAACAACTTCCAAGGTGTGGGCAGCCGAGAAGTAACAATCGCCCTCACAATCCGAAATGCACACGAAACCTCTCTATTACTCACTCATCTAATGGACTCAACCCTAAGTAACTTCAGCGACTCAGGGATTGACTTGCTACCAAGGAATAATCTCGTTGACTTAGAATATGCACACGATATAGTCCTACTAGGCGAGGACGCTGAAAAAATGCAGAACCTTCTAAACACCTTGAACTGCAATCTACAAATGTTTGGCATGCGATTCGCTCCCGCCAAATGCAAGATGATGTTACAGGACTGGAATGCAGCGACTCCTAGTTTAAAAATAAGAAAAGAAGTGGTAGAGCACGTTGACCGCTTCACTTATTTGGGAAGTAACATCAGCCAGTGTCAACGGGTCGATCTATGACGAAATCTCAGCACGGATACAGAGGGCTCGTTTCGCATATGCCAGTTTACACCGCCTCTGGCGTAGACGAGATATCCGGCTGGTTATCGACCAAAGGGCGGGTGTACTGCTCATCAGTCCGCTCCGTCCTCCTTTATGGCTGTGAGTGAGACCTGTCCACTGAGAGTGGAAGACATGAAAAGATTAGCTGTCTTTGATCATAGGTGCCTGCGTTCTATCTCCGTGCGAAGTGGTATAATAAGATGAGTGTCGAGTGCTAGGTAGGTGGGAGGGGAAATCAATCGACGAGGCTGTGAAGCTACATCGACTGAGGTGGTTAGGATATGTGTTACGTGTGCCTAGTCATCGCCTTCCTCAACAACAGGCAATCTTAGCGGATATAGGGTGAGGCTGGAAAAGAGCTAGTGGAGGTCAAACAAAAACATGGCACCAGTCATTGAAATCTACAACAGTTAGTTTAAGCCATGTAGGAAGGTGTAGACTGGCTTCCTGTTTGGGGTCCTCGGGACGGTAATAACCAATGCAGACTGGAAACAATTGGTGACATGGCTCAAAATCGTTCTCAATGACAGCGCAGATGCATCCACTCCTTGTGACTTATGATTTCCAATGAAACTATATTGTTCTTCGTTATTACTCTTCCTTTGTCTCACACCTCTGTTTACTGTCTGTAGTGTGCATTTCTTCTACTTTCTTCTCTTGGTTTGTGTGCTACATGTGGGGAGTGTGGCGACTTGAACTTCCGCACATATGTGCAAAGTTCTATGTCGAAGGCAGACAGACAGACAGACAGACACTATGACTTATACTACTAATAATAATCCCTTTATTTCAAACAATAAATTTAATTACGAAATATCCCCATTAGTTCATAGGGAAAAACAGAGTGTTTGTTCAGCGAAGAAATATATATCCGGCAAGAGTAAACAATAGACACCAAAATCAAATGATCTTGATTGACCAATCAATCTTATAGCTCAGCATTACAAATGGTTGCTAGTCATAATCCTCGTTGGAAATGTCTCCTAGATTTGGTTTTTGACTTCTATATGGGAAATGCGTTGATAAGGGAGGAATATAACATTCATATGTGGGATAACTACGCTGAAAAAGTGTTGTCGGGTTATTACTGATGGTTATGCATTCAGATGAAACCACTTTATTTGAGGAAGTTTGTAAAAGTTGGCAAGTCGTTCATAAGTGGTGATTTTTTAGACACTTGTTGAAATCAAAGCTCTCCCTTAGTAATATATATTGCGTATATGCAACCAGTATCTGCTACAGCTGGAAAAATAGCGAATACATTGATTTGATATATCTATAACCAGTTCTATGAGAATCTGGGGTCAGGTTTCGCAGCATATTAGAGATATATTCCCTGTATGATTCATTTTTATCATATATACATGTATCGTAAGTACATTACTTTATAAATTAAGTACCACTTTTCACCCAGGCGAATCTGATTGGCTGTTACAAGGTTGTCTGAAATTGGTGTCTATGAGATCACAAATTATGTTATATGGAAGAGCATATTCCTAAATAGTTTTAGGAGTAAATGGAATCCCCGGAAGCAATTATTGGTAAGAACAAACGACCTAGAGCTTCCATTGGAGAAATTTTTATAGAGAATGATATAAAATTGATGTTTACACCTCCATTAAACCTATGTAGAAAACGTGTTTGGGGCGTATCCTAAAATTTATGGAAGCCCTAGCAATTACGAAGTTTAAACCACCTTTATGTGTTCAAAAACATTTTGTCATCATACCAAACTTTCGTTGGTAAAAATTATATAAGTAAGGTTGCAGGACTTCATCATGAGCTGACATTGGTTAGAGAACCATTGGAAAACTGGGAGTAATGGGCAGATGCTTCATCCTAGTTTGGGACTCTTCATCAGTACGCATCCAACGGGGTTCGAACTCGGCACCTTATGGTTACTAGGCGAGCTCGTATACCATCAGGCTACTGGGACCGGATACAATGGCTCATGAATCCTAACTTCTGCCAATTCACGATATAGCGCAACCACTAGCCAATGCCTTGTAACCAGAAGGTCCAGGGTTCGAATCCCGGTGGGTGCGTATTGCTGAAGTCCCAAACTAGGACGAAACATCTGCCCAGTACTCCCAGGTTTTCCAATGGTTTTCTAACTGATGTCAGCTCATGATGAAATCCTGTAACCAATCAACTAAATCCCAACAAACCAATACTTAAATAAGTAAATTCAGTAACGTAATATAATCGACGGGATTGAGTAGAATTCAGCTACAATTAAACTACATTCAAGTTAACAACAGTGGTTATAAGGAGCAGGGATCGAATAGGGGGTGAGGGAAGATAATAATACAATTCAAAAACAAAACAGCAAAAAAATCACATGTTCGGTGCTAAGACAGATGAGGTCTACTGTAAATTTAGTGACTGAACAAACTTCTTCATTCAGAATTTTGGATTTAACATGTGAATAGCTATTGATTCTGAGGTTTGAAGAAATTTGATTTGTACCCCTTTAGCAAGATTCCCACCTATTCTGTAGATGACCTAGGAGTAGGCTTGTAGGTTGGTTCGATGCCCAGATTTGATTAGGATGGAACTGTGGGCAATATTTTCTTCCTGTATAAGACCATGAAGGTAATTGTTCGACGATACGTTTGGATAGCAAACTCTGAGTACGGCCAACATACCTAGGTCAACACGAGCAGGTGAATTAATAGATATACATCAATCAGACCAGCAGTGGTAGCTTACCCTTCACGTCCATGTGAATCAATGGTTTTGTGGAGAAAGTTAGTCGAGAATCAGCCCCGAAGAAGTCAGATGTAAGAATCATAAGGTTAAGACACTCTTAGTACCCATTTTCTCCCACGTAGGTAAGTAACATGACTGAACATTGAACAATGAGTTACAACCCAATTACGTCGAACAGATGACAGTAATAAAGCTGAAGTTGTTTGAAAGAATCCGAAACCGGAGCCCACTAAACAAAAACCAGTCGTTTAAACTAATGAAGCATTTACTCAATAATAAGTAACCTACAACTGTATTCTTAGTGTATTATTTCGTTTCACAATAAAAACGTACATTTTAATGAGTGTAATCAGGAGAGCTTTGTGTGCTTTTGAAAGTATGTCAGCCGGTTGTTACTTCCCACACCTCAGAAGCTGATTTTTTTTCTTGAGGTGCCTGAGGTACCGCAGAGTCAAGGAGACAACTACTTGAAGCCGAACACACATATGGCCCGTTTGAATTGGTTTTTAGAGTTGTTCTCGTATTAGAAAATTACCGCCGGTTACGAATCACAGTAGGGTAAGTCGGGATGTATAATTTTAGCGGTCAACCTTTTCCAACTCCCCCTCTCTAGAACGGAGTGGGACCAACTGGCACATTGGCCATTTGAGGGAGCCGGCTATCGACCAAAGGGCATATATGTACTGCTCATCAGTCCGCTCCATCCTCCTTTATAGCTGTGAGTGAGACCTGGCCATTGAGAGTGGAAGACATGAAAAGGCTAGCTGTCTTTGATCATAACATAACATAACATAAGCTTTATTCCAAATCAGTACTTGTGATACAGAATGGAATTCTCAGCATTTTACTACAATATTGCATCCAGTTTTTTTTTTACATTAACAATAAATAAAGTTCTACATAGTTTAAAGTTATCTCGACAACATATTAGTATGTCGGTAGCAAAGCCAAAATTAAAGTGTTTGAAGGTGTTAGAAAAGTAGATACTACTAGCATATTTACTGGCGTAAGAGATAGCAAAATGTTCGAGATGTACAGAGTGTGAAAGAACGAACAAGAATGTTTTAAGTAGAGTTTGCAAGGAAGAGAGAAACAAAACAGCACATAACAAAAATAAATACAGAATGAAAGAGCGAGAAAACGTTGTACCTATAAATGATGTGAGTTGGAAAGACAAGATCCATTGGTTCTACTGACTATTTAATAAGTTAAAGGTTTCATGCCTGATGCATTCTTTATCGCACAGAACACGAGCTAAGTAGGGTATGGATGAGTTTTTGTACTTACTAGTGCGGGCATATAGTTTCCTATATAGGCTTCTTGTTTTCCCTGAAGAGATACATGGGGACAGTTGTGAATGTAGAGGGTGTTGTGAGTCAGATAAAATGGATTTCGCCCATTTTTCACATGAGTCCATATGCCTGTCCACCAGAATATTAACTAGCTGGCTAAGTGGCAAGCTGCTTACCCTGCTGACAACCTTTAACATCCTGCGTAATAAGGTATAGTCTTTCTTCAATAGCCCAGGAAAGACTAAGGGGGAGCAATAGAGAATAATAGGCAGAATACGGGAGTTAACAAATTGTAGGAGTAAGGGTTGGGTTACACCAGAATGCCTTAACTTCTTGATGTAGAAGGTAAGACGGTATATTTTCTTGGAAATCGTCAAGATATGAGACGACCAGGAAAGATCAGAAGATAGAGTGACGCCTAGGTGCCTGTGCTCTATCTCTCGTCTTAAGTGGTAGATTAGGGTGAGCAATATTGAGGTTAGACATCGAGTGTTAGGTAGGGAGGCAAAATTGATAAACGACGCTGTGAAGTTGCATCGACTGAGATGGTTAAGACATGTGTTAACCATCGCCTTCCTCGACGGGCAATGTTGGCTGACATAGGATGGGTTAGATTGGAAAAGAGTCAGTAATGGTCAAACCAAAACATGGCTTCATCAGTCAATGAAATCCACAACAGTTAGTTTAAGCCATGTAGGAAAATGTACACTTCCTGGCTGATTGGGGTCCTCAGGATGGTAAAAACAATTGGTGGTATGGCTCAAAATCGTTCTGGATGATGGCGCAGATGCATCCACTTCTTGTGATTTATAATATCCAATAAACTCTATTGTTCTTCGATATTACTATTCTTTTTGCCTAATGTCTCTGTTTTGAATCTCTTTTTTACTTTTTTCTCTTACTCTGTATGCTAAATGAAGTGTGGCGACTCGAACTGCTGCACTTCAGTGAAAAGTTTTCCATTGAAACCAGTCAGTCAGTCTGTCAGTCATTTGAGGGAAGCACCTTACTAATGTTACATCTTCATTCCCTAGAGGTACGACTTTGCCCACAGAACCCCAGCATATAGTGTAAGCATGTTACACTACACCGGTAGCTGCGTTTAGTCTACTCGCTATCCTAAAAGTCTTTCTGGCATGGTGGGACATGATGCGGGAACAACAGTTCCAAACAGAGATATGCAGGCCCAGGCCCAAGGTAGCAGCAGAAGGACAGGTTTAATGAGTATACTTGAGAATACAGAACTACAGAAATATTGACAACGAAAATGAATTAGACGCAGTTCTTGTCCAATACACATTTTACCGACGATTATCATACATATCTATCTATCTAGAAGTTATGAATACCAGCCGAATAATAATAACAATAATAATATATATATATATATATATATATACATATATATATATATATATATATATCATATATGGTAAAATCTTTATACTCTTATTATTAGCCAAAAAGAAAGAAGCGAAATTGTAGCACTACATTACTACAATTTCGCACACAAACACACAATAGAACCAACCGACAAACCAGCAAACCTCGTATAGAAAAATACACCTTATGAATTGAAAATAATAAGAATTAAAGTCTAAAATAAAAAAATTATACACACACACACAGAGAGAGAAGTAATCCAAGCCAATTTAAATGAATTGGATGGATGAATGGATGAATGCAGACGGCTCCCAATATATTTGTGAAAGTGATGATGAAGGAAGGAATGAAAGAAGGAAGGCTGGCAGGCAGGCATGAATGAAGGGTATGAGAAGTGAACACAGAGTGGAGATGGTCGAGTGCCTGTGTGTATATGTTGAGAGAGAGAGAGAGGGAGTGAGTGAGTGAAAGGAAGAGAGAAAGGGATTACGGTTATAAATTACACACACTACGGAAAACGGAAAAAAATTAACAACAATAACAACCAAAACACAATGCCCAATAACCGTTTATCGGCGCCCATGGTCAAGTGGCATTCAATACACGGCGCCATACATTAGACTACCCAACATACATACATACATAAATAAGTAGATATTTAAGGGGTTTTTTTGGTGAACAGTCTTACACACAACAAAAAAGAGGAAACAAGTTGTTGATGATTGAAAATATGTAGTTTAGTTGATAGGGGATCAATGGTAGGGGGTATTACTGATATAATTATTACCACTAATACTTAGTCCTCCTATGAGATCAGTATGCATAGAATACGCCTGAAGATACACATTTTCTGAGAATTATAGTTGCAAAACACCGAAGTAATAATGTATACCAAAAATCAGGTTAGACTTAGTTAGTGTACGTCTGCTGTATAAATAAGTAATTTATTACCTGTCTTCTATTGATGATGTTCATTACTGGACAAAGTCATTGAATACCACTGCTACTACTAACTAATACAAGAACACCACAGAGAATGTATCTCAAAGATGAGAACAAAAAGGCACAAAGAGAGACATAGAGAGAGAGAGAGAGGGGGAAGATTCAAAGCACATTTCAAGGCAAGTTTTTATCTTTGCAGTCATCATTCATTTATGCGTGTATGAGAATTATAAATAAAAAAAGGGATGACAGACTGACCGACTGACTACTTGTAAAATCCACTACACAATAGAAAAACTTACACACGCGAATGATGAATAACTGCTTCATATTTATACGACAGTGTTACTCTCTCTTTCTCTCTGCATTTGATATATGATAAAGTTGGATGGATAAAGGTATTTCACGAAAGTGAATAACAAAACAACAACTATATATACATATTACGCTTCATTATTGTTGTTATCAACCCAAATTTGATAATGATATCAGTCCCAAAAACAATCACACCAAATATTAACTAGTAGCCTAAACTGACGAAACTCCCCATAGACGACCTGATACACCCGAGAAAGATCTTCTTTTTGCAATGTTCTCGCGTGGTCACCCATTCGCAACCTCTGCCAGGTACCTCCCTTTCATTGCCTTTATGTGGAGGTAGGTGCATCTCTCGCAAAAGTTAAAGAGAGAATTGAAAAGTTTAGAGCTTACAACTGTAAAACCCTAACTCTAAACCTATTGTGTATATAGGCGTATCAATCTGTTTTAGTTACCAGAATCCCTGGGAAAGTACCTCCTGACGCTGCACCACTGTCTTGTGCATGAGACTTCAAGTCAAAGGCTAGGAGTGGAGTGGCCCCTTAAAACAGCTACATACTTCGGTCTAGGCATCCGGTTAGTATCTCGGAGGAGCATATCTTAGTGTACATAATGCAGCAATGATGATAAAATGACGAAAAACATCTGTAGCTATTAATGCTGCTCTTCTGACAGAAGACATGCTCACTCATATGGAATTTAAAGAATTTCAGGAGAATTTTTCAATAACTTTCAAAGCAATTTAATAGTCAACTGAAACAGCACTTTCAAGAATTCATTCCGTTTTGATGATGTTATTCTACATGTTCAGAGTTTCCCTGATCGAGTTTAGAATATTTACGCATTGTAAATTGATTGGTTGATTGAGTCACTTTGCTAAGCCCACCTTTGCAACTTATTTTCTTGTGATAAGTCAGGTGAATAAGCATTACCAGTTATTTTGGAAAGTCAATCGTCCGAACACATATTTCATGTACCAGGCTAAGGAAGGCATACACTGCGTGAAGGTTGATGATAGCATACCCAGTTTCCCAGACTCAAGTAGATAGAGCAGGGTTCGAGCCCTCAACTCACAGGCTGAAAGTCAAGTGGTTGAGTCAATGGACTAGGTTTCCATTAACCATCAGACTGACCTTAATTTTCGAATATTTGTCCATTGGTTGTCACAATGGGATAGAGTATTAGAGGCTTCTCTCCGTAGAATGACTGATTCGGAAAACCTGGAAAATGTACGTTATTCCATCTGACGAAATACAATCATTTACGCTTATACTTTTCACATGTAAGAGACAGG